ATCGGAAACAGGCTCCAGGCTCCGAGCCATCAGCCCAGAGCCCGACGCGGGGCTCGAACTCACGGACCGCGAGATCGTGACCTGGCTGAAGTCGGACGCTTAACCGACTGCGCCACCCAGGCACCCCATACACTGCACTCACTTCGAATCTCCTCTTTCCAGTAAGCACCACCCTCTACACCCAGGAGATCAATGTCTGGCGGGGGAAGAGCCTTCTTTCTAGAACACAAATTTGGAAGCATAAAATTAACTTGGTTTTTATTTTTCCCGACTTGTTCATCTACCCAAGTGCTTTTCTGCATCTATTTTTCTTCCAAACATCCCTCCCCCCACACTTGCCCCACAGCTTGACTACAAGGTAACCCGCCCCCGCCCCAGCCATATGAAAGGGTTCCCCTTTCCACATTAGAGTCCAGGCTTTGCAAAATCCCTAAGGGTCAACTCAGCTTTTATCTACTTAAGGTGGAAACAATCAAAATTTTCAGCATTGCCTTTTATCACAAGGTACTTAATTCTCAAGTCATTCTCAAAGAATAGGTAACATCAAAATCAACTGGCTTCCATATTACATAATAAGTTAGCAGGCAAGTCTAGCTGCTTATGTGTGAATGGCCCAATACATCAGAGAGAGATCAGAGAATCTACACGCAACACAGCGAAGACTTTGTGATTCTTTTATTCAGTGTTCCATCCTTGTGGTGTTTTATATTTCCAGGTAAAGTACACCTTTGAACTGGCCAGGCCTCTTCCCATTTCAGAGTCAGAAATCTTAAGAAGTCCGAACTTTGCCACTAACTAACTTAGGTAATCCCATTGCCTTTCTGGGCTCTAAATTCCTAGTAGCAAGATAAAGAACGCATGTATAGAGAGACAAGGCCTGAAGCCCAGAGAGGTCAAGAAGTATCTAATGTCACACAGCAAGTCAGCAACAGATGATGCAAGGCTAGACCCAGATTTTCCGATTTTACTTAAACCACCCTGCCTCTCACTCAACACAGGTAAAGATGATACAAGCAAATGCACACAGAAGCTTCTTTTACCTCCACTGTCTGGCTCCTATTTCTGAAAACACTAAATATATTTTGCACTGGGGCTCACTGCTGCCACTGTGATTTTCCTTCCTCCCTAACATCCTCCAGCAGCTATACTGTGGTTTTTCTTCACTATACAGTTTCCTCATGCCACAACACACACACACACACACACACACACACACAAGTACATTTTCACACATGCACACACACACACTCATCCTCATTATTACATTCTTCTCTTTCCAACAACAAAGAAAGTTCAGACCACAACTGAGATGATTCAAATACAAGAACCTTGTTCAAGTGCTAAACACGGCCATAACTCTACCCAGAAGCAAATCTGACAAAATGGAATTTGTTGTCATAGAGAAGGATTTTTTTTTCCCCCATACTATATCATTTGTCAAGCAACATTGTCATTTCTCCCACTGCTGCATAATCACATAATGAAAGCCCCAGATGGAATTCTTGTACACAAGAGGGCGGACTTATGGTTGATAAGGGACCCTTTCTTTATTTGCATTGCTAATAGTTTTTTTAAAGAACAGGCAAAGTGCTATATGTAGAAGGATAAAGGACAAAAAAGAGAGTTCCTGTTTCTATTAACACTGTGGCATAATCAACTAGTACTCGAGGATCTTATCCAGAAACCTTTCTTGTTGCCATTTGAATACAAGGAGCATGAAGCTAGTCCCCAGCATGGAATCCTGTGAAATTCTCTCCCTTCTAACACCAAGGCTTTCTCATCTCCCAGAAAATTTCCAGCCACATCAACTAATGGCTGTGCTCCATATACGGTACATCTTTTAAAGTTCCCATGCTGTTCTTTCCGACTGGGACTCTCTTCCTTTCTCCTCTTCTGGCAAAGTCAAGCTCATCCTTTGCAGAAACCTATACAACGGCACTTAGCTTGTAGTAATGGTTCGATGTCTGCTTCCCTGAACTAAACATGAAACCTCCGTAGCCTCCACACAGAGCATGGCTGCCACATAAGAGATGTTCAATTATTGCTTGTGGAGTTAAAAAGAGAAACGTTTTCTAAAATACATTTCAGGGGCACCTGGGTGGCTCAGTGGGTTAAGCGTCCGACTTTGGCTCAGGTCGTGATCTCACGGCTGGTGAGTTCGAGCCCCGAGTCGGGCTCTGTGCTGACAGCTCAGAGCCTGGAGCCTGTTTCAGATTCTGTCTCCCTCTCTCTCTGCCCCTCCCCTTCTTGCTTGTGTCCGCACTCTCTTTTTCTCTCTCTCAAATATAAACATTTAAAAATATATAAAATAAAATAAAACAAAATAGATTGCATTATGCTGTAACTTTACCAGCTGCTTCCTACTGGGCTCCAAACATCAATGTGGTCAAAGAGGAACTCAGCACCCGAGTCCCTCTCAATGTCAAGTCTTCTAGAGTAGAGCAGCAAAGCCTCAACAACACTAGTGGATCCTGTGAGGGGGGCTATATTGCTCAAGTGTGTCAATGGCTGGGTGCCCAGAGCTCCCAGTGCCCTGGGACACACACCCCTGACCTTGCATGCTCCCTACTCTCTGAGAACTCTGGCTGCAAAGATGCCTTCACATTATTCACAGACCCTAAGGAAGACCAGTATTCTGCCTCAACTTCTTACTCTCCCTCTGCCACCTGGTGTCCCTAAAATTCACAAGACTTCGCACACACTGTAGGTCCACAGTATATATCTTTTGCAGGACCAGTTTTCACTAGTTGATGCTCAATGGCAAATTTAACAGTGTTTTCCTGCTCCAATCTCCTACCTCCTGGCTATATGGTGCCTATGAGAATCAATCTATAAAGCTTTAATAACAGAAATAAAGCTTTATGCTGACCATTTTCCTTAGACCACAACAATAGCTCTCTTCAAACTACCTAAATATGCACTACGCATATGGGTAAAAGATCACAAATGTGGTCTGCCAGACCCCAGGGTTCAGGAAAGTGTAATAACTCATACAGGTTCACAGGTTCCAGACACTAAATCTAATTCCATACGCTGAGTTGGGGCTTTTAGAATCCATTGAGACCTAAATCTTGGTGACATCTGCCTTTTTTGGTGCCAGTGTTCTGAAATGGGTAATCTCTTCTTGGACTCTGCTTCTCACCTTTTTCTGTCTGTTCACCTCTGGAAGTCAGCTTTGATAAGGTTTGGCCACTGTGTGTAAGGTAAGCCTGGGCAATGGGGCTTTGTTCTTCAGTGAAATAGAATTATCTTGCAATTCTGCTGGAAGAAACCTAGACACTAATGACTTAATGCTGTTAAAAGTGCAGAGAGCATCTGAGATGAAACCACACTGTCAAATATTCTATGTGTATAAATACAAGGTGTGTACTTTTAAGGGGTGACAAGTGAGAAATTTTAAGTTTGAGGGAGTTGATGCTGGACTCCACTCAGAAGACTCTGGGTGTTCGGTGTAGTCCAAAACCAAAAAGGGGATTACAACCTCTCAGGGATGTATGCCCAAAGTCAGCATGGTCTGATGCCCAAAGGATGGAATCTGCAAGAGATTCTGTCTGCCCAAAATGTATAGCCCCTGTAAACTTAGAGACTGCAACTGAGTTTTTTTCAGTCTTGCATAGTACTTTGCAGTCAACCGGTTCTGAGTTGCCTAAATGACACTTTAGATGTGATCAGGCCCATCATTTAAGCATTTGGAATACACTCATTCATGCAAGCATACATCAGGTACCAAAAAGTCAAGTTCCTGAGCCCTAAAGATACACCATAGCCTTTTGTAACATGGGTCCTTATGTTTTCTTCATTGGTGGTGGAATAGAAAACTAGTCCCCTAGTGTCCTGCCACTGTAGATGGTTGAAAAATGGAGATACTCCTGCAATCAGCATCCACAGTAAACCACAGCTCAGGAACCCAAGAACCTAAGGAAACCTTCATATCATCCCAATGAGATGGAGGTCCTCTGGGACCTATGAGGAGCCGGGAAAACTTTTCACTTCATTTCCAAGGCCCTTCTAGTTCTGCTTCCAAAGTCAGTGCGATCTGCGTTTTCTTACAGCCAAAAGTTAACCCACCAGCTAGCACATTTCACTACCTGAAGGAAAAGGGCCCACTCCAGAGTGATCCCATCTTCTCCCTGAAAGATGAAGGGAAAGATGATCCCTTCCCTCTATCCTGTTAGGGGAATTTGTTTCCTTTCCTCACCACCCTTGAAAACCCATTAACATGTAGATCTTCAGGACTTTTGCCTCTCTGTTCCAATTAATTTTCTTCCTGGTATGGAAGTAACAGGGCCTGGCTCGATAAACGTGTGTTCTCTTCAAACAATTTTCACTGAAGGAAAACACTCTTCAAATATAAAGGTTCACTAAAATGTGTGAAACCTTAAAGCCAGGTTTTGTTTTGTTTTGTTTTGATCCCCCGCGAGGACTCATGCCCGTGAGCAATTCATTCGTGTCACCCATTTGTGAGAGATGAGAAAAGAAAACACCACTTATTCCTTTCCTTATTTAGAACCTTCCCCTGTCTTAAGTCTACCAAAGCTGATTCCTGGGGAGGGAAGACAGGAGAGGTGAGAAAAATTAGCCTGAGGTGACTACCTCCACGGAGTGAATAAGCACTCTGGGTTTCCACCTGTGTCTGAGAGGGACCGATCTGCATTTAGGGGAGGTGACTTTAGGGGAGGTGACGGACCCACTAGCAGCCCCACCTCATCCCCCAAGAAGGAAGCAGGAGCCTGAGTGCTCTCTAGGGCAACTTACATAAGACCCTGTAAAACTTCCTGTGACATTCACGGAAAATGTAAGCTGCTATTTTGCTCCCTCAGGAGATCATTTTAATGGACTGAGTGACAAAATTCACGGATTCGGGATTCAACAGAAACCTGCTCAACCGAGGTACATCAGCTCAGGGACGGAAAAAATCCATCCCCATTAAACAGGGTCACCGGGGGGATGGAGTCAATGTAGGAGAGACAATCTGTTCCTTCCTAAGTGACCCATTTAAAATCAGATTGTTCCAGGGAAATCTCATAGGCTTAATAAATTTCAAACAGGCAAGGACAGGCTTATAGGACTGAGGTTCCTTAAAAGGAAAACTTTGAAGAAAGTAATACAGCAATAAACAAAATAAGGAAGCACAAACCTTGGAGTCAGCCATTCTAGCCTTCAGCAACAGAGATATTCACAAGAATACTTGGATCGCTATATACTGATCACTCCCCACGAGCAGGTTTGTGGAAACAGGACTGGCACTCTGGTTAGGTTTCCTCTCTACAGATGTCCCCGCCACCCAACCACTCTGTCCTATAGAGGGACTGGAAAGCTGTGGCGGCTCACCCTAAATCGCCACGACTCTCTACAACAAGGAGCAAAGAAAAGTTCTTCACAGCATCACACCAGGAAAGGCAGGTGAGGATCACCGAAGAGGGGCAGCTAAAAACACAGCAGGTTCCCCAAAGCACAGGTGCCCAAAGCTAACAAGCTGCGGGGGGTTGGAGGGGGGGGGGGGGGGGGGGCGCGGGCACACCACCTCCGGGTGCTGAACAGGAAACTCCTCCTTGCTTGCTCCCCGTTAAGCAGCCTATGTGCCTAGGAGCAAGACAGTCCCTGAGAAGGGTCCTGGGGACATCAGACACTTGGGGACTTGTACTTCCAGCTTGTCCAGGGTTCCTGGCCCAGAGAGCTGAGGGTGTGCCCTCACAGGGGGTACCAGCTACAGGTTCGGAGAACTTGTCCGGCGCCGCTCACTAGGGCGTCCCCGGGGCGGCTCTCAAGCACCCCCGGGCTCTTACCTTGGCCGTGACTGCCGCCAAACACAGGGGGACCGCGGAAGAGCTGGGTGGCGCGGCGGCGCCGCCGCCGCCTACAAGACGCAGAGGGTCGGGGTCCCAGCAGGCGCTGCCCTAGCTCAAGCGGCGGTGCCAAGCGCAGACTTCGGGGCGGCCCCCGGCTCCAAAAGCTGCGGGGAGGGTCCGGGCCGCCCAGGCTGGGCACAGTCCCTTCTTCCTCTCCCTCCGGCGCCGCTGCCTGGAGCTGCTCCCCGCCCTAGGGACTCTTCAGAGCCGGGGGCGCCCCGCACGGGCAGGGGCCTGCGTCCGCCTCGGGCCGGGTCTGGGAAGGGGGCGCTGGGGAGAGACGCGGGGCGGCCGCCGGGGCCGGCTCCACCTCCCGCGCTCCCCGCGGCTTCGCCCCCTCAGGGC